TGAATTTAAGTAGTGGAATTTGCAAAGTATTAAGCAAAAAACAATTTCCATGGAATTTTTGTGCAGGGCGGCTCCAGGATCTTTTTTTTCCACTTCCTTTAACATTGCAGGTTTTTTTCTCAACATTTTCAATGATTTCTCAGAAAATAACTGTGAATGTTGTTGGAAAATGTATTTTCATGAGGAGGACTGCAGGGCCTCAGTGGATGTATGAGCTCTACTCTCATTCTCTGATGATGCTGCATATCTTTATGCACTACTGTTGGATCCCTCTCAGTTGATCAGTTCAGGCTGTTTATATCTGTAGGATGATTGATTTTACAAGAACGAAATGCAGAACTGTTTGGAGATCTGAGATTTGTATAGAAATGTACTTTGGGGCTATTTGGTTGAAATCATGAGGAACATCCACATACGTTTGTAAGGCATCCGAGGACGTGTTTTCAGGAAGAGCCTCTTGTGTCTTGTGCTGGGAACCTTCTTGATACCGTAGCCCAGTGTGTTGCAGCGATTCTTCCGACAGTCCAGACACGCACCGTGGTCGAAAGCGCTCTTATCGGTGCAGCTGTAGGCCGTGCTCTGCTTGTCTTTGTTCTGCAGGGAGTCAATGAATAGATGGACGGAGCGTTCATGAGCACATTTCACTGTCTGCTCGAAACCTTTGGGAGGAAACAAACATATGGTGGACATTTAAAAAAGAGTTCTTGAAACAACCTTTAGCAGATCAATTCCACACAACATGTGGGTTGGAGGACTGTGGCTTGAATCACAATGTCTGGTGGATTGAGTTCATTATCAGCAAATCCTGACATTGATCAGACTGTCCCTCCGTCGTGGCTCCTAAAAGAGTCTCATTAAGTGTGACACTGGTCTGCTCTTTTCTCTTGCAGCCTGGAGGCAGCTCAGCTCAGAGCGATGGACGGAGCAGAGGAGGGCACATGTCGCTAATTAGCTCCTGGGGATGACAGATGCTTTAATGTGGTTCTCACTGTCACATATGATGTGGATGTGTTTTGGATTGAGAAGTACCATAAATCCCACAGCCGCTTAGAGGAAATTAAATGCATCTGCTTCGACGCTGAACTAGAAACTGTCAACAAGCAAAAGATGAACCGGTGCCCAAGATATGGCTTCTAAACCAGTGTTTTGAGGTGGCAAGAGCTATTAAGATAAAAAAAATATTATGATAGAGCAGAGGAGGAGGCAAACCAGGGAGCAGTTAGGCTGCACAACACATTGCTCAGATGCAGAATGGTCTGAAAAAAAACTCTCTACAATCTCACAAAAACTAAAATCCTCCAAAAAAAAGCACAAAATAAACAGATACGTGGAATAAAAAGAGTTCACTCTTGTTCTGAAGGTAACTTAAAGCGAGAACTCAATGTAGAAAAGTCAGGAACCTTTTTGAGTTTTATTCATGGTTCCCAGAGGTTGAATCGTGATGTTGTGGTTAATAGTGGGACCTTCCTTACGCCACCGTATCAAAGTCCACTGGGTAGAATGTCATGAAATGAACTCCTGAAACGTACTGAGCACATTCATTCTCCCCAGAGGATGGACTCTTCAAATCATTTATTCAGCTTTAGTGCAAAGCTGCTGATTTGAAGATGATCTGTTAATACATTACTGTGATGCCAGGGAAACCCAATGAGTGGATTGTCATAATTTTTTTGGCATGTTCATTATTCTCAGAGGATAAACTTTTTTGATTTTGTAAATACCACAGTTTTTCCTCTGACCTCACCTTTACATTTTTCGTCACTACTGCAATGACTAGAGCAGGAGCTTTTTTTCTCTGTGACATTTTGGTTCCATATGGTTTAATACACATTCCCCAGAGGACATACACTACATATCTTTTCTGAGGGGTTTCAGTGTGTTCTTTATCGTACCCATAAGCCCGTACTGGGTTATGTGCTCGTAAATGTTTTGCAGGTCACATCCTGGTTGGAAGTCTCCTCCGTTAGGGTAAAAGTCATAATGAGCCACTGCTTGTTTGATGCCCACACTGAGGCCCATCCGTTCCTGGGTGAAGGTGTGGATGGCGTCCACAAATTCAGCGTCATCTGGGGAGAGTCTGTCTGAGGGAGACATGCCTTCAAACAGTGGCCCTGCTGGATCCAGACCTGGACAAATCAACAATATTCAACTTGAAGCATTTGTTTTAGAATACAGAATCGGAAAGTTCATTATCCTTATACAAATTATGTTTTTGGCCAGAGAGACCTAAGCTAGCACAACACAACTACAAACCAGCCGTGGAAAAACTCACCAGTGATTCTTCCAATCTTGTCCGGACCTTCCAGATAACTTCCTGCAAATCCAGAGATGTGAGCGCCAAGACTGTAGCCAATCAAATGAGCTTTTCTCAGTGGGTACTGGTACTGTTCCTGTTTTGGACAGATATTTGACATTTTCTTGTCAACTGCACTACATTCATGTTTGGTCAATAGTGTTTCCTCTGAAACACGATTTTAAATGTAATGGCCCAGAAATCCCCTCCCCCCCTGACCTGAAGTGAGTGCAGCAGATGAGCTATGTCCTTCCCCACAGTGCGGGTGCTCTGAGCTGCAGTGGGGTAGTGCTGGTGAGCCAGGGACAGCCAGTCAGTGATCACCACGTTGACATCTCTCAGATTGGTCTTCAGGGCTGTGGCTAACCTGAGCACCCAGCTCTCCATCATACCATCCACCTGAGGGAAACTGCTGCTTAGACATGTGTCTTATCTCCTAGTTAGAACATCCATCCATTCATCTGGACCACTCATCCATCCATTCATTAAATACACCACTCATCCATCCATCCACTATATACACCACTCATCCATCCATTCATTATATACACCACTCATCCATCCATTCATTATATACACCACTCATCCATCCATTCATTATATACACCACTCATCCATCCATCCATCCATTATGTACACCACTCATCCATCCATTCATTATGTACCACT